CTCCCAGTGGCGGTGGGTGAACCTAGATTTGGGTGGGGCTTAGGTTTCTTCCACTTCTTTACCACCAAAAAGGAAGCAATAAGAACAACACAGTGATGATTTCTATACTCACGGCAAGCCACGGCATTTTGAGAACCATTCAAACGAGAAGAGTCACCTTTGTCTGCCATCTCTTTGTTCTACGTTAAATTCTTCTGGATGGTGGGGACGAAGCCGTTTCACCTTCAAATTTCTCTAATTAGTTTTTATTTGATGAAAAAGTTGCCTCAAAAGTGGTTTGATGTAATTAATAACTGTTAAATCTCAGCGGCACAAACACACAGCATTTCAAACACACACCGTGTATGAGGCATGAGGTGGATTGATTGGGTCGTGTTGTTGCAGAAAATAGAAAGCGCCTAACAAAGGCCCAATGGGCGCATAGGTAACTGTGTCACTGGGGGAAAGTGTGTCGTAAACTTTCACCCCATTGTCAGGGCTGGGAGAGCGTGAGCCCTCTGTACTCTCAACTCTGTGCTGTGCAGTGTTATTTTTTTCAAGTCTTCTACCTTTTTACAAGAGGGGTTTCATTATGGAGAGACCGTGGGAACGGGCTGGTTGACTGCTGAGCCCTAAAGACATTTGATTGGCTGTTAGGTTACTATAGTTGTTAGTGGAGACAACAGTGATTGGATAAACGAGCAAGCCGCCAAGTTGATCACTTTGTGTTCATTGCGGTCGATCACAACAGTTTAAACTGCTTATTTCACTGTTTTCATTTGCCTTGGGATAGACTTGGGGGTGGAGATGGGGGCTCAAGCCCGTAAGCCCTTCACTATAATACCCACCGCCACTGCCCCCTCCCGAAATCAGGGCAGTGCTACTGACTGAAGTGTCTATTTAGGCCATTGCCAAAAGGGGGGGGGGGGGGGGGGGGTATTAACATATATTCTTATGCCCATTAGAATTGTAAATTGGCTGATTTATCAATGTCATGCTCATATTGTGCCAGAACAGCATAGGGGGAACAGCTGCTTTTCTTTCCTCATCCTTACTATCGTCATTTTCCACTTTTTTTTGTATGTTTGTCACTCTCTTGTGAACTGCTATTTAAGAATAAATAAATGACATTAATACAGTGCTCAACCCCGATTAAAGTACACAGGCTTAATTAAATTATACGGGATAGGAAAAAAATTAAAGCAGGGAAGATTTCAAAAGCTATACCACGCCGGCCTGCATGTAATTATTATGAATCTTAGATACAGTAGAGGCCCTTAGTATGAATTATTATGCACTAAATATATACATAGCCTACGTAAAACACAATCATGACGGCCCGGGCATCATAGGCCTAATATGATGCTATTCGTGTAGCCGGTTAAATATATCGCTTTCCTGTTTATAGCCTAATAATAATATAAGGTCGTGAGCAAAATTATTTCCAAATTCTAAATCTTAAAATTTCTGGACTCTCATTGTTGATTGTAGTTTCAAAGAAGATACCAGCAATCTTTTTTTGACTAATGAAATTATAATTTATATGCGCACGCACACACACACACACACACACACACACACACACACACACACACACACACACACACACACACACACACACACACCGGGGCGATGCCACTGACTGAAGAGCCTTAATTAGGCCATTCCCAAAGGGGGGACATTTCTCGTTCATGCACAGTAGGATTGTATGGGCTGATTCATCAATGTCACGCTCATAACTGTGCCTGATCTGCAACAGGGAACTGCTGCTCCCCCCCCCCCCCCCCCCCCTAATCCTTACTATGGTCGTTTTCCTCTGCGTCTTTTGTATGTGTCACACTCTTTTGACCCGCTAGTTCCGAGGTGCTTTGAAAGCCGAAACGGACTCTGCTCTGTGCTGTTGAAGCTAAAGAGGTGAACAGAGTAAGCCTGATTCCCTGTAAAGACTTCTCTGTTGACATCCACCCTTAGCGTAAGCATACCCCTTGGCGCTCATATGACCTTATGCAGTTGCGAGTGCCGTAAAACCTCTCTCCAAGATAGAAATATATACGAAATACAGACACACATCCAGCCGAGACAAGGCGATAACGAATACGACCGTTGATTACGGGCGCATCCACCTAAGGCGACTATGCAAGGGAGGTCAGTTTAAGGAGATAATGGTGAGAAGACAGATGTCTAGCACATACATAAGCAAGAA